CAGACTTTAATTAATTATTTAATTATTATGCACTGAGATGCATCCTTAGTATGCAACACACACACGCACACACACACACACACGCGCAGCAACAATAAAACGCACGAGTGTGTGTGCCCCTTATTAGAATCGGAGCTTCAATTTTACCGTTAGCACAGACCGTACGCACAGAAAATCACTTGAAAACTGTTCGGCCGGCCGCATCGGATGTGCCGAACGGCCAGCCAGTGGGCACAGCCAATGATGTTGCGACAACAATGTTGCTGCAACATGCCGCTCTGCAGTTGAGCCGAAGACAGTTCTGATTGTTGCCGTTAGAGCCAGTAATGTTGCAGCAGCTGGTTTGAGTGAAATTTGTCTGCAGCTCATGCAAGTTGAGGACGAGCATGTCGCAATCGCTTTGAGTTGTTCGAATTGGCTTGATACAGTTGTGGAGTCACTGAGGTGAATATTAGTTTTGCAACATTTTAGAATGTTGCTACGATATGCTGCATGTTGCATAAGGTCAACTGTATGAGAATTTCTTATATTGAGACAATAGTCAATCATGACTGAACAAGTTTTCTTGCTTTCGCTGCGTGGGTGAGACAAACCATTTATTCTGTGCTCTTCACGCATGCCAAACAATTTGAAGGAAAGGGCGAATAAAAGCGCCAGACAAATTGAGCAATTAGGCTGGAAAAAACGGCATATGCCGTTGTAAATGTAACTAAAATTGATCAATATCATATACATACATATGTACATACATATGTATAAACTCTTAAAAAATTATAATTATTCTCACTACTGTTGTCGTTGCATTGTTGTCTGATTTCATCAAAGCGTAAAATTAATTATTTAAAAGAAAATAAAAGAGTGAATATTATGTGAAGACATGTACATACATATGTAAACATATCAAATACCTTTAAGATACAGTTAAAAACAAAAAACACTCACCTGCATTGAGTTTCAATGAAATATTAGGTTTTTTTCATATATAAGCAGTAAGCATAGATTTACATAAATTCAATTTTCTCACACAATTTTGAATTTCCATTTCAATTCCGCGCAAATCACAAACACATTTACCCACTCACATGGTTGCAGTACTTATATCGATAGCGTACTGCCAACTATCGATTTCTACTGCCTATCGATTATATTGATAGCACGACCGCTGTTTGACCGTCGCGTCTCTAGCTCAGCGACTTTGCCCGTTCTTTCCTGTCGATACGCCAGTGCAGGCGTGTAGTGTTTTTAAAGTTGGTCCACGTAAATCAATAAACATCCAAAATGGTAGGTGCCAATAATCTAAAATAATTGCATTAAATGCAGGACAATAAAACGCAGGAGTCAAGTGCATCATAATTTTGTGCGTGTGTGTGGCAGACGAGTGTATAAAATGATGCCAAAAAGACTATCTAAAAATTGTAGACGTGACACCGTCTGTCCACTGTATGTGTGTGTGAGTGCGAGTGTGTGTGAGCCAGTGGTGAAATGCAAGACAAAGAAAATAGCTCAAGGGGCCGTCACAATGACGTATGCAACTATTACAAAAAAGACGAAAGAGATGAAAACGGGTCATAAGATGTGGCCAGATGTTTCCTTAATGCATTTGTGTAAGTGATTATCTATATATGCATACAAAATTGTTTTGCAAGCAATAGGCAACGCAAGTGGTATTCGGGTTCAGTTCTAACCTCACAAAATATCACATCGCCTGAGCCGAAAATGTGTGCAGGTATCTGTGAGTGTGTGTCTGCGTGTATGTGTGAGCATTTGTATAGGCATTAAACGCCATTTTTAATAGCAGCCAAGCCTCGGTCGCAGCTTACACATGGATTTAACTCTGATGCCTTTCTCTTTTTTTCCTCCTGCTGGTGTTTATAGGTCAACTTCACCGTCGACGAAATCCGTGGCTTGATGGACAAGAAGCGTAATATTCGCAACATGTCCGTCATTGCTCACGTCGATCACGGCAAATCCACCTTGACCGATTCGCTTGTGTCCAAGGCTGGTATCATTGCCGGAGCCAAGGCTGGTGAGACCCGTTTCACCGATACCCGTAAGGATGAGCAGGAGCGTTGCATTACCATCAAGTCAACGTAAGTTAGCTCTACCCTCAGCCACGCCCTCCAATCTAATATAAACTAATCTCAATTTCTCATTTATAGTGCCATTTCCATGTACTTTGAGGTTGAGGATAAGGATTTGGTGTTCATCACGCATCCCGATCAGCGTGAGAAGGAATGCAAGGGTTTCTTGATCAATCTGATCGATTCCCCCGGTCACGTTGATTTCTCATCTGAGGTGACGGCCGCTCTCCGTGTCACCGACGGTGCCCTCGTCGTTGTGGACTGCGTTTCCGGTGTGTGCGTCCAAACTGAGACTGTGCTGCGTCAGGCCATCGCTGAGCGCATCAAGCCCATTCTGTTCATGAACAAGATGGACCGCGCTCTGTTGGAGCTGCAATTGGATGCTGAGGAGCTGTACCAGACCTTCCAGCGCATCGTGGAGAACGTGAACGTCATTATTGCCACCTACAATGACGATGGCGGCCCAATGGGTGAAGTGCGTGTGGATCCCAGCAAGGGTTCAGTCGGTTTCGGTTCCGGTCTCCACGGCTGGGCCTTCACCCTCAAGCAGTTCTCCGAGATGTACTCTGAGAAGTTCAAGATTGACGTTGTCAAGCTAATGAACCGGTAAGCAAAAATATTACTTGAATATATCTATATCCATATGCTTTTAGCACAAAACGTGTGACGCTGAGCGTGCGACTTCTTTTCGGACAGTCACAAACCTGCAAGGGGGCGTGGCTGTTCAGCTAGAACCGCGCGTGCTGATAGCGCCACAAGTGCAATCGAAAATAAAAGCAGATCAAATTATGTAGACGCGGCTGAAACGCTGCACCGGAACCTCTTTCCTAATGTTCTAACGGTGCATTTGCTAAGGCAGCGACTCGACAAATTAACAATATATCTAATAATATTTATATATATATATATATTCATAGTCCCAAATACTCAAGAGAAAATCATTAAAATTTTACATTAGAAGCGATGGCATAAAAATTTTCAAAATAGTTGTATATGTGATGTTCTAATTTTCTTCGTAATATCCTCGTTTTTTTGTTTCACGGAAAAATGATCTATTACAAAAGAATATGCTCCACCGCACCTAGCAACAATTCAGTATGAAGTCATTTTTTTTAGCTCTACCTCTAAAAAAGTTTCGCAGCAATAGAACGAAATTAGCGAGAGTGAAATTTGATTAGAATAGACTGAGACGAACGTTGTTGAGTTGTAGAGCCGACAAAGATATGCTCAAAGTTTTTTAAGTATAGGAAGAGAGTGTGAAAAATATAATTAATTATGTGACGAATATAATATAAATAATATGGGGAATAAATTTGCAGAGGACAATATAATTAAAAAAAATTAATAAATAAAATTTGTCAATTTGAATATAGACAAACTGAATAAGTAGGGTCTATATTATCTCATATAACCGTGAGTTAAATGATTTTTTGTTTTAATACATAAACAATATACAAAATACCATCAATCAATATATAAAATCTAAATACCTCTAACTCACCTGGCTAAAAATGATTCAGAAGTATTCGAAATAAATATTTAATCCTTAAAAAGATTAGATAAGATAATTAATCAATATCATTCAAAATTCATTCCATGAAATTCCATGAACCACAAATCATCATAAAACCGACTCTAAATCATTAATTAAAATAAATCGCAATTATTCCTTATACAAATCATCAAAACTCAATATATATTTCTATTAATTTGTAGTCTGTGGGGTGAGAACTTCTTCAATGCCAAGACCAAGAAATGGCAGAAGCAAAAGGAGGCGGACAACAAGCGCTCCTTCTGCATGTACATTCTCGATCCCATCTACAAGGTGTTCGATGCTATCATGAACTACAAGAAGGAGGAGATCGGCACCCTGCTGGAGAAGATCGGCGTGACGCTGAAGCACGAGGATAAGGACAAGGATGGCAAGGCGCTGTTGAAGACCGTTATGCGCACCTGGCTGCCAGCCGGTGAGGCACTGCTTCAGATGATTGCCATCCATTTGCCATCGCCCGTGGTTGCCCAGAAGTACCGTATGGAGATGCTGTACGAGGGACCTCATGATGATGAGGCCGCCATCGCTGTCAAGAACTGCGATCCCGATGGTCCATTGATGATGTACATCTCCAAGATGGTACCGACCTCTGATAAGGGACGTTTCTATGCCTTCGGCCGTGTGTTCTCCGGCAAGGTGGCCACCGGCCAGAAGTGCCGCATCATGGGCCCCAACTACACGCCCGGCAAGAAGGAGGATCTGTACGAGAAGGCCATCCAGCGCACCATCCTGATGATGGGTCGTTATGTGGAGGCTATTGAGGATGTCCCATCCGGCAACATTTGCGGTCTGGTCGGTGTCGATCAGTTCCTGGTCAAGACCGGTACCATCACTACCTTCAAGGATGCCCACAACATGAAGGTAATAAAGACTCGAATCTTCTAATGATTAGCTTATTAATATTCAATTCGTTGTTTTTCAATGCTCCAGGTGATGAAGTTCTCCGTGTCGCCTGTGGTGCGCGTTGCCGTCGAGCCCAAGAACCCTGCTGATTTGCCTAAGCTGGTGGAGGGTCTGAAGCGTCTGGCCAAGTCTGATCCTATGGTGCAGTGCATCATTGAGGAGTCCGGTGAGCACATCATTGCCGGTGCTGGTGAATTGCATTTGGAAATTTGCCTTAAGGATTTGGAGGAAGATCACGCTTGCATCCCATTGAAGAAGTCCGATCCCGTGGTCTCTTATCGCGAGACCGTCTCCGAGGAATCCAACCAGATGTGCTTGTCCAAGTCGCCCAACAAGCACAACCGTCTGCTGATGAAGGCTCTGCCCATGCCCGACGGTCTGCCCGAGGATATTGATAACGGTGAAGTTAGCGCCAAGGATGATTTCAAGGTTCGCGCCCGTTATCTGGCCGAGAAGTACGACTACGATGTGACTGAAGCCCGTAAGATCTGGTGCTTTGGCCCTGATGGTACTGGCCCCAACTTCATTCTGGACTGCACCAAGTCCGTGCAATACCTAAATGAAATCAAGGATTCCGTTGTCGCTGGCTTCCAGTGGGCCTCCAAGGAGGGTATCTTGGCCGATGAGAATCTGCGTGGTGTTCGCTTCAACATCTATGACGTCACCCTGCACGCTGACGCCATCCATCGCGGTGGTGGCCAAATCATTCCCACCACCCGTCGTTGCCTATACGCCGCTGCCATCACCGCCAGTCCTCGTCTGATGGAGCCCGTCTATCTGTGCGAGATCCAGTGTCCCGAGGTGGCCGTCGGCGGCATCTACGGTGTGCTGAACAGGCGTCGTGGCCATGTGTTCGAGGAGAACCAGGTCGTCGGCACACCCATGTTCGTTGTCAAGGCTTATCTGCCCGTCAACGAGTCGTTCGGCTTCACAGCCGATCTGCGCTCCAACACTGGCGGCCAGGCCTTCCCACAGTGCGTGTTCGACCATTGGCAAGTGCTGCCCGGTGATCCGTGCGAGCCATCCAGCAAGCCCTACCAGATTGTCCAGGATACCCGTAAACGCAAGGGTCTCAAGGAGGGTCTGCCCGATCTGTCGCAGTATTTGGACAAATTGTAAGCGGCAACTCCAACAACAACATCATGGGGGTCGATGGGCTGCAGCTGCCTAACTATGAGACAGGTGGATCGAACAAAGATGCAAAGACAACAGCAAATAACATCAACGGCTGTGGCCGCTGGCAGCGTTTAAAATACAAACACACACAACAACATTTAAAGAAATTTTGATGATTATTAATTGTATAACAGTAAACAACAACAACAAAATAAATCAAGTAAATGATTATACTTAAGTTTATATAAAACAAGAAAACAAATACATACATAGAGAGCCCACTTTAAATGTGCTCGAAACAAAAATAGAAGCGAAGGTAAACGGGGGAGCAAGTTCTAAGTGGAAATGAAGCCTACTGTTAACGCTGATCAGACGGGGAGGGGAAATGAAATTCGCATGTTAACATTGCTGTTATTTTACTCAGCTACTCTTCCAACTGGAACCAGCTAGCATATATGCTGTTAATGATGATCAGATCATAAGCGGCGCTGTTATGGCAAACGAAATGGCTATGTTAGTTAACATTGCCTTTGACGAAAGCGGAGAGCAGTTGGAGTTGGGGACATGGTGAATCAGCCACCCTTCCAAAACTATTTGATTTGAGCAATACTATTCTGTTAATAGCCGTAACAGCTGTAGTTGCCGCATTGACGTGAAATGCAGGGGTTGCATTTTGGCTTTTATTGTTTTTGTTGTTCGCAGAACACGCCGCGTGGCCAAGTGCAAAATCACAAAGCAAAGCACACAAAGCCAATCAATGTTAATGATTACAACAAATGAGCGACATGCGGCGTTTGGCAAACAAAAACAACAGCAGTAGCGCGCTATGGGGTGGCAGCCAACGATTGAGTGGGCAACCAAATAGAGAGAGAGCACGCAATTGCAACCCAAACACAAACTCCCACACCAATGCGCGCGCGTTCTCTCTCCTCTCTTCATCTTCCATTGCACTCTCTGCTTTTGTATGGCTGCCGGAGTCTAGATAAATCTAATTTTTTACCCTCACTAATAAGGAATGTGCTAATGTAATGAAGAAAATGCAACAACATATTAAATTACAATTACAACAATCAAAACTATGTTGACAGACAGAGACAACATGGTCTGCTAAAGAGAGTAAATATTGGCAGATCATTGGATCATGCACACACACATACGTCAAATCCAATGCAATGCTTATAAGAGCTTGCTCTTTGTTTGCATTTTGTTTGTGTGAGGAATAAGTTACAACGACAAGTACCATCCACCAGATACAGTAACAGACAGCATAGAGTAGCCAATTGGCTTCTCTCTCTGTGTGCGGCTCAGTCGTGTTTCGGTGTTCGAGGCAAGCAGACGCGTTTGGGCAGTAGCTTCGCGCATCATATCGCATTGCAATATTTTTGTAAATTTTAATAGGTATATGAGAGTGTGTGTGTGTGTGTGTCTCGTACGAGCGGTCTGCGGTTTGTGCCTGAAATTCAAATTCGAAATTAATCGAGTTAAATATTGCAAAAATAGTCAACAAATTGATGAATTCGTTTGCCAAACGAGCGGAACCAACAACAATAACACTAAAATTAACCGATGTCTGTGTGCGTGTGTATGCATATATACATGAATATATATATATATGTGTGTAGGTGGAATTGTATGTAATTCATAAGCAAATTGCAAAATACGAATAGAGTTCTCTTGTTCTCGGAAGTCGCCGTCTGTTTTTGTCATCGTCTTAAAAGCCGCTGACGCCGTCGTTGCTGCCACCGTTGACGTCGCTACGTCTGTCATTACAAACATCAGCCCCGCACTTGGGCTCGTCAGCTATCTCGCTCTGGCACACACGCATACGCGCTCAGCATATTTGCTATATTTAGCAACATTTCCAATTGGAAGATTTCTGATTTGACCTTTTGGCAGTAAAAGCTTTTAACTGTAATTATTATGCGTACACAAAAAACAAACCAAATCGTGAAGCTAAGTGAGTGAGTGTGTGTGTATGAGTTGGAGTGTGTGTCTGCATATGAAAAAATCGATGCCAGACTCCCTGCGACAACGACAACGTCGACGCCAGGCAACTTCATTCAGTAAAGCAAAAGGCAAGAGGCAAAGGCAGCGACGCCAGCGTCGCCGCAGTATATTTTACAGTTAGACAAAGTTGGAGCTTTGCGCTGTCTGTCTATGTGTGCGTGAGTGAGTGTGTAGGTGGCTGGCTGCAGCTGAAGTTTGAAATTCGAATTGGAACTCTGGATTCATGGACAGCTACCGATAAGAGCGGAAATGAAATTTGAAACTTAAAAATGGCAAACTTTTCTATTATTTTTAACCATATTGTTGTTGCCATTGTTGGGTTTTTATACTTTGTTGCTGCATCCGTTAGAAATGCGTTTTTGGGGCAGCCAACGCAAAAGTTTTTTTCTATTTTTGCGCAAAGACAAAAGCAACGTGCGTGCGTCTGTATGAGTGTGTGTCTGTGTGTGTGAGTTGTTTATGTATAGCGGAATATAAAATATCTTTTATATGTATGCGTTGCAGTGGGCGAGCAGGAAGGCAGCCAGGCTAATCTGTCGCTCTGTCCGTGTGTGTGTGTGTGTGTGTGTGTGTATGAGCGAGTATGAGTGCGCCTGAGCTCCATATATACATATGTATATATAACTCCTCTCTACAAAGTGTATAGAAAATATGAATGAAGATAGGAAACGCACGGCAAAGGAGTTAAGAGTAAATTGTGGGCAATGAGTGTAGGGGTCAGGGAAAGGGGCTGAAATCTTTGCAGGAAACAAGGCACGAGAATAGTTTTTACACACACACAGACTCCGTTTGCCACCATTTTTCACACCTCCTTTGACTTCCGTGAGGGGGCAAAGACACTAAGTGAAAAATCAATGCAAAAAATTTGTTGCTAAGCTCAAACGGAACAAAATTTTAATTGGCTTTTGGCAACGTCTGTTGAAAGTTGGGAAAGTTTGATATGAAATTGAAACTGCGAATATCCTGGGAATTAACTTGTGGGGTTTTTTTAAAAAGTGTTTTGTGACCGGCTTTTCAATGAAACAAGAAAAGTTTGCTTTATTCCACAGTGAAATCTCTCTAGAGTGGACATAAATTTGCCCATTTACTTTGCAGATCACTGACTGAAGGAGTTGATAATGCATTTTGTACATATCGAAATGAAGTCACTATGTGAGCAAATATTTAATTTATATATTACAAAATATACATTCAATTTCATTATTTATCAATATGTGAATATCGCCAAAATCTTTTGAACTTCTATAAAAAACACTTCTCTAATCATAAGTTTATGCTTTGCAAGAATTTATAATCAAATATAATTATAATTATTTTGCATTCTTTTACTTTTGCATTATCACTAGATAAATCTCTCAGTCAACTCTTCTAAATTCAAGGGACTCTTAAATTACTACGAATTATCGAATGGAGCGAAACTTTCGAGAGAAAGTAAATAAAGCTCCGAATTATCAAGGCTTTTTATAGAACTGTTAATATTTTACATATTCGTAATGTATGTTCAAATAAATTCAGTCATCTTTGTTAATGTAATTGTTATTCTCTCTAAATTGCTTTCACTGTACATATAAGGAATTTTTCATCTGTTCTCTCACAATTGACATTGATTAAAATGCCTTTTATGGCTTAGAACTCAAGACCCGACCACACCATCAATTATCCCATTAAATAACTGATTTATTCAGGCGCATCAAACCAATATCCGTTCCGTTTGTCGAAAGCTCTAAGGAAAATCTAATTGCATGTTACGCAAATCGGCGAGAGATTCGATATTAAATATTTATTGAACTTTCGCAGAGCTGAGCAAACACGAACAACTTAAGCCGCTTACGGCGAACTACAGCAACATTTACAACATTTTGATTATTAAAGTAACAGAAAAATATATATACGATAGAAAAAAAAAGTAATTTTCCCACCCGCTTTAATCGTGCCATCTCTCTCTCCCTCAGCATTTGAATGACGAATTTAATGAGCTGAAAAAAACGCCAATCACTTTCACACATTGCATAGATGAAAATTGAAACAGTCGACAACAAAGACGAGCAGCGGCTGTCGGCGCCGACGTCGACCGAGGCAGCGACAGAGACAGCGGCAGCGACTGTGGGCGCATTGATTACATTTTCATAATCAACGAAATACAAGAGAAGCAACAAAAAAAAAAAGAAACTAACAAAAAAGTAAAAAAAAAAAAAAATACGAAAAAAGTTGCAGTTGGTTTCAATGAAAATCGCATAATGGAGACAACACCTGAATCGTGTGGCACAGCACGCGATTCTGTGGAGGCGTTGGAACTGGAGGCGGATACGGCGGAGACAGAGGTAGAGGCAGAGGCAGAGGCAGAGGCAGCGGTAGCTGGAGCAACAGCAGAGGCAACTGAGGCAGCACCAGCGACTGCGATTGCAGCCAACAACATGTCCGAGGTGGAGCCCGCAGCTCTGGATGCTGTGGATGGGGACAACGACCAACAAAAGCAAAAGTATGTCGCAAGCTCTAAATGAAATTAAAATCAAATTGTGAACAAGATAGAGAAAGAGAGACAGAGAGACTGAGTGAGAGCGACAGAGTTGATGACTCTGTGTCAGAGTCAAGCCGACACGACGTAGCGTAGCCTAATTACATTTTCATTTCGATTTTAGCAACGACTCGCTGCAGCCGCACTCAATGGAGCCCATCTCCATGGACGATATACCGGAGCCCATCAAAGTGCTGGATGATATCATATCGGAGTTCGAGGAGGCAACCACCAAGCCGGCGGCGCTGCATTGCAACAGCGGCGAGAATCAATCGGAAGACGATGGCTATATGAGTCTCAGTCGCAAAAAGTGAGTTACACCCTATAGATAATAGATATATAGGCAGGAACAATTATTTCTATATCGGTAAAGTCTCATATCATCTATTTTGGCTTTGTTGTTGTGTTAAATAATAAAGTCGTTAGGGCAATTTAGACTGTGATTGCCTGATTTCTAAACGTATTGAAGCTCTTGGGCTGTGAGAAACAGAAAGAGTTAGTTTTATACATATTAGGCAGGAAATACCGCTTTCTACTTATACATATGTGATAAAATATAAATCATTTTTGATCATTTTCCAACTGGAGATATAGTTCCTAGACTTCGACAAATGACCTTTTTCGATTTACATAAATCACACATATTACATCAAATTATGAGGTAATATAATTATAATAAGTAAATTTAAAGTTTCTAGCTGGAAAGCTGCAGAAGGTATGGAGATTTCTATATCATTTTGACCTCGAATTGAATACATGAGTATATAAATAGATTTAAAATTGATATGACCTTAAATAAATTCGTTTGTGTCTATATATATATATATATATATATATATATATATAAATATATATATATATATATAT